AGGCAGGAGACCAGAGCCAGGCCTGGCCAGGCTCCGCCCCTCCCTCACGCTCGCCCCCTCCCTCGCTGCAGGACCCTGACCTCGGCCGACCCCTTCTACCGGGACACGCCTCGCAGCAGCCGCTTCGGGGCTCCCTGCTGAGCCCGAGGCCTGGGTAAGGGGTCGGAGACCCCCTGCCTGCTGCTGCTCTCCGCGCTGGGGTGGCCGTTGTGGGCCAGCCCCGCCTCCCAGGCCCCGAGTCAAGCGAGCACTGTCTCGGGACCCCAGCCCCAGAGTGGGAGATGGGAGATGGGAGGTGGGGTGGGCCTCTCAGGGGCCGCCACTCAGGCCTCCTCCTGTTCCTTCACACAGGTTTGTCAGCCCAGTGGGACAGGAGCCCTGCTCCTGTCCCTGCTCCTGCCCTTCCCCTGCTGGGACTCTCCCAGTTACTTGCCCAATGGAATAAAAACCATTGAAGCAGAGGCATGTGACCTCATTGTCAAGGTGGCTGGGAAAAGGACAGGTGAGGTGGGGTGGCAGGTGCAGGGGTGAGGGGTCAGGGACACATTTGGAAGCTCTGAGACTTCACTACAGAGCCTTGGTTTCCTGTCTGGTGAAGGGGTCCTCTACCACCTGTGTTCTTTGGGAAAGGGCTCAGTCAAGCATAGACAAAGGACTCCAGGGGAGGGGCAGGCGAACCAGAGAGGGAGAGGGAGTAGGTGGGGGGGATAAAGGAGTCTTGGGTGCATGGACACCTGGACATGGACACAGAGGGGAGGGGGCCAATCACAAAGGCTGGTGCTGCCCTCCGTCCATTCACGGTGCCCAGAGCAGGGTAGCCCTGTCTGAGAATGAGAACAAGGTGCCCGTCAGGCAGATACCCCAAGGGGTCCCAGGCCCTAAGTGAAAAGACATAGCATGGACTTAATATACCCAATGGGCAGCCGTTTTAACATTGCCTAAAGCTCACATTTTTCTAGGGGTTCACTTAACTTACCCTCTAATCGCTAGCCAAGGACAGAACCGGTTTGTCAGAGGTGGCTATTGATAACTGTTTTACAACCTCCCTTCCCAGCTTGTTTTGTACTAATTAGCTTTTCTATTTCAAATATTTACCTCCTCCCATAAGACTCAAGTTAACCTAATCAGTGCTCTGTGACCTTCATGACCCAGACAGACCCCTACCACCATGCAGCAGTCAGGTGACTAACCCACTATCTGCCCGCTGTCCATCACCTGACGTCAGTACCTGTGCTTACCTGCCCCTTTGTGATGATGTGGAACAGACCACCACCCAATCGCCTTAATGACCTTTCCTTCCCCCATCAAAGGGAAGGGTTAAAAGGACTCAGCCAGGAGCAACCAGTTGCCATTGCCACGGTCATTGCCAGGCCATTGCAGCTGTTGCCTTGCTAAGCTCTGGTGTGGCCATGTTTTCTTTTTCTTTTCTTTTCTTTTCTTTTTTTTTTTTTTTGAGTTGAGTCTCCTTCTGTCACTCAGGTTGGAGTACAGTGGCATGCTCAAGCCACCCCAGTGTCGACCTGCTGGGCTCCTTCCACCTCAGCCTTCCAAGTAGCTGGAACTACAGGCGTGCGCTACCACACCTGGCTAATTTTTGATTTATTGCAGAGATGAGGTTTTGCCAAGTTGCCCAGGCTGGTCTTGAATCTGCAGGCTCAGGCAATCCACTTACCTCGGCCTCACAAAGTGCTAGGATTATAGGCTGAGGTATTGAGCCCAGACAGGCCATGTTTTTCTTAAGCTTTGACCTGAATCCCCTCTCTCTCTCTCTCCAATTTACTTTCTAAATGAACTATATTTTCTAATCTAACTTCTGTGCAATTCTTTGCAACTTTCATGTGGCATCAGATTGTACACCAGACACCCACACCCCCAGCGGGCCTGACCTAACATCTTGGAGGAGGCCTGACTGGGAGTGTGCTCTAACACTAAAGTATCCCCCTTCCTTCAGGTGCTGCACCTGGCCCCAAGCCTGCAAGGCAGCGACTGAGCTAGCTCTCAGCACATTTTGTCACCTCAGCCAGGCACATTTGTGCAGTGTGCAACACTACAGCTGCATGTGGTCCTGCTAACACCAGCCCCCCCCCCCCTTTTTGGAATCAGGGTCTCACTCTGTTGCCCTGGCTGGAGTGCAGTGGCGTGATCACCACTCACCACAGCCTCGACCTCCTGGGCTCAGGCAATCCTTTCACCCGAGTAACTGGGACTATAGGTACGTACCACCACACCCGGCTAATTTTTAAATTTTCTGTAGACATGAGGTTTATGTTGTTCAGGCTGGTCTCCAACTCCTGGGCTCAAGCGATCCTCCTTCCTCAGTCTCCCAAAGTGCTGGCCAGCCCCTTATTTAAGGAACCTGGACCCAGAGGAGGCATGAGCAGCTTGGGGTCACACAGGGCAGAAAAGCAGCAGCAGCCCTGGGCTGGGGAAGTCCTCTGTGCCTTGCAGCCCAGTCAGGACACAGAGGGGCACACTCAGTGGGTCAGCAGCCGTCCCCCACCCTGGCCTCCGCCCTTGCTCCTCCGTGAGCGACTGGAGCAGCTCGGCTGGCGCCAAAGCCAGGCGTGCTGTACCCAGCACAGTCCTGAGCAGCAGGCCCGGGGGCTGTCCACGGCCTGGCAGGGGCTCCATGTGGGCTGTGGGCGACTCCAGCTGGTCCCCATGTTGGAGGAGGGGCGTGGAGGACAGAGTCTCAGCTGTAAGCCCATCCAGACTCAGGACCCAGCGACAGCCCAGACTGTGGGTGGGTACCTGCCAGTCCCTGGCCTCCGGAGTGAGGGGTGAGTCACCCGAGGGACTGGGTCCCAGCTGTGGCCTGGCCCTAGTGAGGTGGAGAGTAGGTGTGAGGGTGCAGTGTGCAACACTACAGCTGCATGTGGTCCTGCTAACACCAGCCCCCCCTTTTTGGAATCGGGGTCTCACTCTGTTGCCCTGGCTGGAGTGCAGTGGCATGATCACCGCTCACCACAGCCATCTCCTTGCCCAAAGTACGAGTACACATTGTCAACACAACAGTGCCTGCAGATACAAGCAAGACTACGTGCAGACCCCTGAAGACACATGTACAAACACACACAGGCACATAAATGCCAACAAAATACACTTGGACTCGCTAACACAGCCACACACAGAAACACAAAACCAACACGCCCAGACACCCAGATCTTCACATCACACTCAAGACACTGATATATGCAGGCACACACACCCTGCCCACCCCCCTTCACGTCTCCATCTCTCCTTCCCATGAGTGTCCTTTTCCAGCTCATGTTTCCTGCTCAGCTGTCCTCAACAGGGGATCTGGGGTCGGGTGTCGGGGATACAGGAGTCTGACGACACCCTCTCTCCATCGCCTCCCTGCCTCATTGTCCTGCACCAGGCAGCAGCTTGGCCAGAGGACAGAGAGAACCCGTGAGGCTGAAAGTGGGCACCCCAGGGCAGAAGGTCAGATTCGGGGGACCTTGAAGGCCGTGCTAAGGAGCTCTTTTATGTCCCCCTCCTCAATTATGAGGCTCAAAAAAAGCAAAGACCATGTCTGTCTTGTAAAATCCAAGGCCCAGAGCAGCATGTTTGGAGGTGCTCAGTAAATATTAGGTGAATGAATGAATGAATGCTAGCTGCCAACAGGGACAGCAGATGTAGGTTTCTGGACATCACCTGCCTTGATGCAAACATGTCAGTTGCCTAGTCTCCCTGCGCCCATGCAGCCTGGCAGCTGGGCCCCCACTGTGCCTCCCCCTGCCCTTACCAATGACCAGGCTGTGGCCCCTGGGGACCCCTGTTTTGATTTATTTTTTATTTTTATTTTTTTTGAGTTGGAGTCTCACTCTGTCACTCAGACTGGAGTGCAGTGGCCGTTCCCAGCCACCGTTTCCTCTACCTGCTGGGCTCCGGCAATCCTTCCGCCTCATCCTTCCAAGTAGCTGGAACTACAGGTGCGCGCTACCACGCCCGGCTAATTTTTGATTTATTGTAGAGATGAGGTCTCACTAAGTTGCCCAGGCAGGTCTCGAACCTGCGGGCTCAGGCAATCCACTCAGCTCAGCCTCCCAAAGTGCTGGGATTACAGGTTGAGCCACCGAGCCCGGCTCTGTTTTGACTTTTATTTCTGTAGAAATGAGGTCTTGCTAGGTTGTGCAGACTGATCTCAAACTCCTGAGCTCAAGCCGTCCTCCTGCTTCAACCTCCCAAAGTGCTGGGATTATAGGCGTGAACCACTGCGCCGGGCAGGGACCCCTGCTTTGCCCACAGGGCTATGCCTTTTCTTTCTGAGTGTGCCCTGCCCTGGATTCCCCTCACACTGTGCCCAGCCTCTGCCCAGTCCCACCAAGCTCCCCTGCAGTGACTTGACAGACTCCATACCCAGCCTTCACCCCGGTGAGCCTTAAGGCTGGGGTATAGTCAATGCTGGGGAATTCTCCCAGTGCCCCAACGCAGGAGGAGTAGATACGCCCTACCTGTGGCTCCTCCAGATCCCGAGCCCCGCTGAAGGGACTCGTGGCCGGGTGGCATCATTCTGCTCTATGCCGTTGGGGAGCGTGGGAGAGTCCTGCCTCTCAGCAGGGCAGGACTGTGAGAGTTTCAGTGAGGAGAGTCTGGAAGACGCATGGGAAAGGAAACCCCTAGGGGACGGCCCTGAGAGAGGAGTGTGGAGGAGCGCTGACCATGTGGCTTCATCTTCGGTGAGCTTGCCCCCTTGCTTCTGGCCCCTCCCTCCCCAGGCGCAGGCAGTTGGCAGAGTATAGCTGTCACAGGCCTGAACTCTACAGTCAGGCTGCCTGGATTCAAATCCCAGCTGCCACCCCATTCTGAGCTTCTGAGGACTCTTTGGGGATGACATAAGATGGCATGGCTTGAGTGCTTAGGGCACCAACAGTGGCTGCTTTGATACTGGAGCAAGGGAAACAGGCCAAGATGGGGGTGCAGACTTGAGCAGGGCCACTCTGCTGTCTGTCACAGGGTCTGGCCTCTGTCTCCTGCTTGGTGCTGGCTGGCTCCCAAGACCCTTCTCTGGAAGCAGGACTGTCTTTGATCATGGGTGGGTGATCACCCTACACAGCCCTACCTGGAGGCCTCAGCTGCCCCTTAAGGAGACCGCCCCGCACCCCTCCCAGTCCCTAAGGCCAAATTCTGCCAGGCCCCCCTGGCCACTGTGG